AACTTTAAAGGTGATTTTCTCAATATTTTTATTTTTCTGCACCCTCAGATTCCAGATTTTCAAATAGTTTATCTCGGCCAAATATTGTCCTATCCTAACAAACCATACATCAATGGAAAGATACATCAATTTCGAAAAATTGACCCTTATGACTGGTTTAGTGGCCCAGGGTCGCACATACATATACATATATATATATATATTTATTTTTTTATTTTTATTTTTTTTGCAGAAACTGTGATACGCTAACACTCAAAAGTTTAGGATTTGAAAGAAATGAATACTTTTATTGAGCATGGATGCATTAAATTGAATAAAATTGACAGTAAAGACATTTATAATGTTACAAAAATGTCTGTTTTAAATAAATGCGGTTGTTTTGACTTTTTATTCATGAAAGAATCCTAAAATGTATTACAATCCATTTATTATTTAAAATCTCTGGGGTTAATTTATGTGATAATTTATATCCTAAGAACTGACTAAAAGGTTTGGGAGACCATGGGTTAAAACTATATTTGAAAGCAGGTGTGTGTCACTGTTTCTGTCATACTCTTTCAGTCTTTTGACAGGGGCTGATGGCTTCTTGGTTTCCACTGGTTTGGCATCAGCCTCTTGTAATCGCATGGCACTGCTTGACAGCGGACGCTGAAGCCCAACATTTCCCCCACTGCAGGAGACAACAACCAATTAACTCCCTTAGTAACAAAATACATTCATAGTGTGCAAAGCTGGTCTCTAGACACATATGGTGATGACTTAGTTTGAAGAAGCTCAAATAGAAGACCTTTTATCTTGTGTTATTTCATAGTTTTGATTACTTCGCTATTAATGTAAAATGTGGAAAAAAGTAGTAATATAGAATGAGTATGTGTCTGTAAACTTTTCACTTACAGTAAAAATAATAATACTTAGGAGGTACGTCAAAGAACACCACAGTATAATCATGCTAGATGGTGAGAAAAAACCCCAAAACATTATTAGTATGGTAACGTTACATGTCCAAAAAAACATGGTATTACCACAGTACCATGCCCAAAAAAATGGCATAACAGTAGTAGTATGAAACCAGATTAATATTATGACAACTTTTGTTATATGATTGTTGTGTTGACTTAAATATAGCGTCAACACAAAACATTACGTTAACAGTGGAGGATATTTGTCTGTCACACAAATATCAAACACGTTATCAGATGGGCTGCTATAACGACCACATAAGCTACTTACATTATTCGTCCAGATGAATTCAAGGGCTCAAAAAGCTGCTGACACGAACCTCGAATGAGGCTATATAACCTAAGATACATAGTGTGTGTTTAAATCATGCAGTTTATTCACAAACATACACACATGACTTTAGGTAGCTTGGCAGACACTGAGGGTCGCGTACAGTTCGTTTCATGTAAACGTCATACTAAATTTCAGAGGGGTGTTTTTAATTACATTTTAGACGCTAGCGTATCGAATGTGACGTAAAGTATTTTTTATTAGATTTCATATAGTAATAACAGATAATATAACTATAGTGTTTCTTTACTTTCATTAAATGACCTTTGCAAATACCGCCAAACCTTTGTTCACTTAAACTGGTTCCCCCTATTTTCGAAATAGTCGCGTCTATTTGACAAACTCCGCAAAGCACTACGGGAACACGTGCGGTCAAGATGGCGGCGCCCTTCACTAGAGTTTATAGACCATTATGGAGAATAATAACTACAACTACATTAAACAAAGGCGTGCGAAATGTTTCGTCCACTAGGCAACAGTGGTCTGCGCAAAATGTCAAAACTGCGGGTGTCGCGTCTCCGTGGGCGCTGCATGGAGCCGTTTGTCTGCAGCGACTGCCTGTGGTCTCTCAAGATAGGAGCCCTATTGAGGAGCAGTTCATGGAGCTAATGCACCAGGTATGAAAGAATCAATATTTGACATGAAATATATAATGTGACCAAAACCTGTCATAAGGGTTCATTTTTTCTGAATAAATAAGCTTTCTATTGATGTATGATTTGTTTGGATAGGCCAATATTTGGCCGAGATACAGCTATTTGAAAATCTGGAATCTGAGGGTGCAGAAAATAAATAAATAAATCAAATATTGAGAAAATCGCCTTTAAAGCTGTCCAAATGAAGTCCTTAGCCATGCATATTACTAATCAAAAATTAAGTTTTGATATATTTATAGTAGGAAATTTACCAAATATCTTCATGGAACATGATCTTTACTTAATATCCTAAAGATTTTTGGCATAAAAGAAATATCGATCATTTTGACCCATATGATGTATTTTTGACATCATATGACACCATGCTATTTAAGATTGGTTTTGTGGACCAGGGTCACTAATATTATAATTATTTTAAATACATTATGCTCATATAATGTTTTCGGATGGTGTAGTTGGTGATGGCACCATTTACATACATATAATTTCTTGTATTTTTCTAATTTTAGTGTGCTATGTAGCATATTTTGAGGTTGTGTGTCTGTATGTATCTTAATATTGTCCTCTGCCCTTCAAGCCTATCCTTATAATGCTGCCCGTCCATTAATCTACTCGCCATGAGCCACCTATAACCAGCATAACTTACTGTTTCAGATGGAGTTAGAGAGAAGTCTGCTTTCGGACCATGACCTGAGGCTCCTCGAGGACGCTGCACGGATGAGCCGAAAACAAGAAGAGGATTCAGATGAAGAGGAGGAGGATTATAGAGACAATGAAATTTTCACAGCCCAAGATCTGGAAGATATTTGGGAACAAAAACTGAAGCAATATCAACCAGCTCCGAGGTCACAAGGTAAGCATTATATCGGCAGTGATAGTGTCTTTTAAAAAAAAAATCAGATTAAATCATTGTTTTGATGCAAGTCGTGCTTTTTTAAGACATTTCAGAGTTATAAAACATGTTGAATGTGCACAAATTACAGGTGTTGACGAGAAAGGCGTGAGTTCTTCAGAGCGTTGTTTAGCAGAAAGCCTGATCTTGCTGGTGAAGAAGGATGTTGGCAGTCAAAAGCTTTGGCTCCTGCCTCAGATACAGTGGCAGACGGGAGAGACACTTCGACAGACGGCCGAACGTGCTCTTGCAAGTCTTCCAGGTACATACAAATTTGTCTATTTTGTTTATTTATACATATATACATATGTGTATTTTATTCACATATCTTAATTTTTTATTATCTGTGTTGTTGTCCCTGTGTATTGGAAGCTTATTCTGTCACCAAAATAAAATCCTTGTGTGTGCAAACATACTTGGCAATAAAGCTCTGTCTGATTCTGATGCTTATATTGTACTAGTCATTTAGACAGCTTCAGGTTGGTCAGTTTTAACTGGAGAGTTTATGTCAGCTTTTAAGAAGAGCTGATAATCAAACATTTTTAATAAGCTGACAATTAATGATTACAGTTTTAACACTGAATCACAAGCAGGGCAAGAAAAATGTAAATGAAACATGATTACATTTTCTGGTTAAAGAAACATTCAGTGCCAAAATTCAAGACTGTAATTCTTAAATCGAATGGGCTGCAGGTTAAATTATTAAGCTTCTGTTTAATTTGTCCTCTGTAGGTGCTGAACTAAAGGCCACTTTCCTTGGCAATGCACCCTGTGGATTTTACAAATATAAATACCCAAAGGACATTCAGAAAGAGGGCAGTGTTGGAGCCAAGGTGTTCTTTTTCAAAGCGGTGCTATCCAGCCATAAGCACTTACCTCTGGAGAAGAATTCATTTGCCTGGGTAAAAAAGGATGAACTCCAGGACTTCCTGAAGCCAGAGTACCTAAAACAAGTCAGACGCTTCATTATGGCTCTGTAATATGGGAAGACATGAACATGATGGAGAATATGTTGGAAAACAGACCGCAAGTTTATGCTTTTCATATTTTTGGACTATGATTCCATGAGTTTGGACCCTATTCCATCATATGATGGCAATATAAATGATGTTCAGATTGTCGTATAGATACACTCTATTGTCATCTGTCATGTATTTGTATATTTATCCTGCTTGTAACTGGAAACCTATATGACGATTAATGCAATATTAAAAAGGTCGGTTTTTGACTTCATTGCATGTGATCAACAAGTGGAGAAAAGTCTTTGTCTTGCAAAATAATGCTCAGGAGGCAGAGTTTCAGAAGTCAAAATTAGACTTTATTGCAAGAAGACAACAAAGCCGAGATAACTGTAGAACATCTGAATCTTTCTTTGTCCAGGATACCATACAATTTTGTTATCGGACGGTCACTGTCCAATGAGCGTAGAGACCACTTGTTGCTGCCCAGTACTTTTCCACGGTTGTTTATTAGTTTTCATAATGCTTAATTTCATTGTAGAAAAACACCTGCTAGTCTGTTTTTCAAAAGAACTTCTCTTATCTACCACTTTCCAGGTGCTCAAGGTTACAAAGGCAGATACATTTTAGGATTTTAATGAGCTGTCGGGATTTTAAAGAGTTGTACACACATTATCTATTTCCACACTATCTCATCCTATCAACACTATCAAAATCCAAAGTATTTAGTAAAATGTAGCATGAAATAATTTTCCCAGCAGGGTGGTAGTTATATTGTTTGTTATTCATCTACTTCACTGTCACTTCTTTATCAGTGTATGTATGTTGTCCTTTAAAAACTACCACTTGAGGGCAGTAGATGGACAAAGAATGGAGGACAGACCATCCAACGGGAACTTTAACCCCCTTCATCGAAACACAAAGGATATCCAATTATGCTTTTGGCAAGTATATTTTTGTCTTGTCAAATTTAAATGCCTTGTACTTGGGGTTTCTCTTATGCACTTTTATGTCTCTCTTGCTCAGTTGTCAAATAGTCATTGACTTTTGTGCTGTGCTGGTGGAAATTGGGATTAGTAATACTATGAATTATTTAGGCACCTTGATTATGTAGGTCTCTAAAAATTGGCTGTAGACAGTCATTTCTGCCAGCGTTTTGGGATTTGGAGGAGAAATTAGTTTCAAAATTCTTCATAAATAGTGCAGCTGTGGGCTTTGCAGTGGAAGACTTTTTTTTTTTTAAAGAACACAAACTTAAGAAAGGCCAGTTTTTGTAAGGCTAAGTGATATAGGACTTCTTTGAAAAACCTCAATGGTCCTAAAAATAGGCTTTATTTTCTTTATCCAAAAATTATTTCTTGTTTTGTTTGGGGGGTAAAATATGACAATAAATATTAGATATTTCTTGACCATTTTTGTGAGATTAAGTGTCCATGGAAGAGCTTTTCTTTGTACGCTGAAGCGGTACACTCCCTATAAAAAGTACTTTTCATGTTTAATTCTGCTTTGCATTCACCCCAATTAAGTAGCAGCAGTTTGTGGGTCACTGGTGACTGCAATGCTTCTCCATTCGTCTTTCAAAACTGCAAACTGCATGTTTCTTTCTGCACTTTTCAAGTCCGTCCATAAATTGGATTGACTGATCTTGCTACACCAGGACATGAACATTAACAACATCTATTTAGCTTTGGACTAGGAATATTCTTTTGTGTCAGTGAAAATGTACATTTAATGAACATTAAACAATAATTTGCCATCAAGTGGATGACAGCAATTTCAGACTTGCATTTAAGTGGATAGGTTTCACTGGCAATGGCAGTGTTTCTCCATTCTTCTTTCAAAATGGCATGCTTCTTTCAGCAAAACAAATATCGTTTTAAGTCATAGGAGTCTTGTGGTTTTCCTGTATTTTTCACTTTTCATACCCTCACATGCCTTCAAGGTCTTGCTCTAGAGAAGCATCCCAACAGCATGCCATCACCATGCTTCACAAAAGATATGTTGTATTTGGCTGACGTGTGTTTAGTTTGATGGATAAAAAGCTTTATTTTGGTCTCTTCAGATGACAGAAACATCTCTTCCAGCTGGTCTTGGTGACCTCCCTCACTAGTCACTAGTGTCCTCCACGGTCACTCGGTTTTTTGAGGACAGCCAGCTCTAGGTAGATTTACAGCACTGCCATGCTCTTTTCATTTCTTAATTACTGATTTAACTATACTCCAAGGGATATTCAATGACTTCTTGAAGTCTTCTTGTAGCTGTTCCCTGACTTGTGCTTTTCAATTACTTTTCCGCTGAATTGCTTGGAGATTTCTTTTTTTTTTTTTACTTTATGTAAGTTCTGCCACAATATTGACTCACCAGAAGTTGGAGCTCCCAGATAGAGTTGCTTTTATACAATCAGCTGAAACTCTCTGACTGCACACAAGTAATTTTAACTATTAATTTGATTTATTTACGTGTCATTTAAGGGGGGTGAATACTTATGAAATGAATTAGTTTGGATTTTATACTCAGTATTATTTGAAATGCCTTTATAGACTTTTTCTGTTGATCAGTGTCAAAAAAGCCTAAAGAAGTCCAGTGTGATTCATTGCTGTAAAGCCACTAAACATGAAAAAGTCTTTTATAAGCACTGTATCTCAAGTCTGCCATTAATCCGGATATTGGCATATTGTTCTAGTTTTATTAGTTCAGGTATATGTACAGTGCTCTCTGCACCTCAAGACTCTAGTGTCTAACCTAATAACGGTGAGAATAAAGAACATTATGCATGTTTGCTGCTAAGACATTTCGACCCAAATCCCATTTCAAATTAAATTGGCCACATTTAGCCCATAAACACGTTTTACCTCAACAGCTTAATTTATAATTGAAGGTTAAAATGGGGGCTCAGAGGTCTTCAGAGACATCTAAATGGAGCCGGGAAAGCAATAAATGGGTGCGAGTACGAACCTTCCCTCCCTTTAAAGACCTCAAGCGCTGAGCTCAGCTGTATGAGATCAGGTGAGGTTATTGAGGGGATGTACAACAATTAGCTGATCAGCATGTTTTGTCCTCGTTCACGTCTCACATCTCTATCACGGTGCTTTGTCATGTCTGAGAGGATTAAATATCCTTTGACGATATTAGAATTGATATTTCCTCTGCACTTTTTCCTCTCCTGTTTGTTTGTTGTTAGACACCAAATCCCATTTCAAATTAAAGTGAATGACTGCCCCTAAAAAACAAAGCCTGGAATCAATCAACCATTTATAAAAAGAGAGCCCAATGCAAAATCTTTGGCTGTACGGAATGAAGTCCCAAAGAATAAATTTAACCCCAGTTAACCTAACACTGTTTCTATTTGCTTTCTTTTTTTAATCCAGAAAAGCCAATTTAATTGAACAAGCAAAGACTCTATTGGTCTATAAAAATATTATATGCTTATCCCAGAGCCAACGGTTTTTAGACGAGGGTTTTCAAAGTTTTTGATACCAATGAATCCCAGAATTGAATATACTTTTGTGAGTGACCCCTATTTACAATATAAAGGCAGCTATTTATTTTCATTTCAAGACTCATTTATACCATGTGAGAAGTGTAGTACAACTTGTTTACAAAATTAAATAATTCACCTTCTGTGACACTTAAGCCAAAACAAATATAACAAATATTTTTATAATTTACTATAAAATATAAATTTAACTATAAAAATTAATTTATATTAAGATTTTTTTTCTACACACAATTAGGCGTGATGAACAGCTGATAAAAACATGTGTCGTGGATTACTTGTGGATTATTGTGATGTTTTTATCAGCTGTTTGGACTCTCATTCTGACGGCACCCATTCACTATAGAGCATCCATTGGTGAGCGAATGATGAAATGCTAACTTTCTCCAAATCTGTTCAGATGAAGACAAAAAGTCGTCTATAGCCTGAGGGTGAGTATTTGCAACAATTTGTAATTTATTGGTGAACTATTACTTTTATTTTTTTTTCAGTTGATATAATTACATCTTATAGTTATATCTGCTTTTTTTTTAACTTAGCAATATTTGTTAAACAACAAATGATAATGCCATGCACTTTGTTCACTTGTCCTGCTTTGTAGTTTCAGCTTACTCCAGAACATACACTGAACATACACACTGCATTAGAAAAACCAATGCATTCATGCTCCGACACCTGAATGTTTTCAAAGGCGGTCTATCCTATCAGGCAAAGTTAAGAAATAGTGTTCCTGTAGTTCAAACAGTAGTGCAAGCAATGCACTAGTAACAGCACGTTCCCAGGGAATGCATGAACTGATAAACTGTATACTTTGAATGCAACGTAAGTTGCTTTGGATAAAAGTGTGTGCTAAATATAAATGTGAATGTAAACGTAACAGCAAGATAGCGGAACTTAGGAAGTGCATGAACTTACACGCAATGCAAAATCTGTTTGGATGAAATTCCACATAAATGCATAAATGTAGTGAGAACTCAAACATAGTACCATAAAAACCACCTGAACAAACCCAAACCTTTGCTAACATATTAAATGAATCATCTAGATACATTCCACAAAGAGTGGAATGTGGCAAGTAAAAACACACTGGCATGCCTTCAACACATAACCAACATTTCCTGAAAATGCCAATACATGCACTCCTACTCCTAATTGTTGATGCATGAAAAAGAGTAAAAACTTGATGGCTTTAATTTGCAATACGGTTACCCGTGTAAAAAAAAAAAAAAAAAAAAAAAAACTTATATTTAATTTAAACTAACTTCCTTATGTCCTCCCACACACCCATAGGATTTCCAAATAAGCACATTTGTAAAGATGCGCACACATTTCCCTTGTAAATGAGGCTAAATAAAGGAGATATAGAGATGGAGAGTGGTTGCTTTCCTATGTTGTTTATGTTGGTTCACTAAAATGAAAAAATTTAAAAGCAACCTTCAGAAAAAAGTAGCTGTCAAAAGAAAAATCTTCTCACCTCAGATGCATACGATGTATTACATCATGCCTTACCTCAAATAACTGAGCCATTAACAAAGGTATCATGTACTGTAATCCATAATTTGACAGCCCTCAAATGATTAATGAAAGCAATTGGCCTTGCTGTTTAAACCCTCATATGCTCTTACGAATTTTAATGCATTTTGCTGGTCAGGATGATATAATGAGTACTCAGTATGGACCATTGGACATCAAAGCACACAAGGTTTGCAACATTTCCAGTTGTGAGAAATGATTTGTTACAATTGTGCACCACTGAAATGAAACCAAACCACGTGCAGCCTCTTTAAAGGTGTGATTACCCAACTACTATACTGTTGGATTTGTTGTCATAGGTCAGTAAATATTGGAACATGAAACAGCCAAAGCAATTTCACAGGTTAATTGAAAGTTTACCGACATTGCCCTTTCTGCAATTTTATGTCCAGTTCTAGTTTTTAATCACCTCCAAAATCTACTGTGATAACACTAATAACCGGTTTTCACTCCAATATCATCTTCTCCCTAAGGATTATCGGAGTCCTTGAGAAATCCACTCTCACTAGAAGGAGATCACATAATTAGATCTGTCTGTCTTAATGCATTCATGATATAGATGGAGTGAGGTGTTAAAACCATGTGCTCATAATCACCGATTGTGCTCCTTGGTGCCTTTTTAAATGGTTTATTTTCTTTTGTGGTCTTGTTTTCTGCCTTTTCC